AAATAATATATTATAAAAAAAAATTTCATATATATAATTAAAATATAAATAATATTATATATAAGATAACATCTTTTTGTGACAATTTTTTATTTATTTTTAGCAACAATTGATCTAAAATTTTGACAAACAAGAGCGCTCACTGCTCAACACAGTTTTTGCCATGCTCACACGTTCAATTGGCTCAGAGGATGGGAGAGTTGTATCATATTTAATGAATAAAGATTTTAATTTGGGGAATTTATTATAAATATTTAAGGAATTATCTTTATTTTGAAAAAATTTTAATAGATCATCTTCACCATGGATCTTCATACATTTTCTTATCAAAAAATATGTGTTGGATAAAGAAATTAATCCTGCTCTTTCTTTATCAAGATCTTTTCTCAAACTTAATTTTTTATTCTTTAAATTTAATAACAATTTGAAGTTAAACCATTATAGCAGATAGAAGATATTGTTTAAATATTTTGAACCAATACCAATATTTGGTAATCTTGGGTTTTTAATGTTGGTTCTCAGCCCTATACTAGTATAAACTTGCTACTCTTAATTTTCTTTATTTATGTAAAATATGTTTAAAAATGGGGCCAGGGAAGGGTTGAATAATTTTCATCTGAAGAAGTAAGTATTATGGACATAATATTCTTAAAATAAATTATAAAATATAATAAGATCATTATTAACATTTATTTGAATTTAAATTCTAACAACGAGAATTTAAAATAAAAATTAGGGCTGTGCCGATATTAAATATCGAATCGGATCGGTACCGATATTTAGCATTTTCCGAAAATATCGGATCGGGTCGATACCTGTAAATAACCGATCCGATCTTTTTACTTATCTTTTCTTTTCTTTTTTTGTTATTTTATTTTATGTTATGAATATTTTTTTTACATTATTATAATATTTTCTAAATAATTTTTTTAAATTTTATTTCTTTCTTATAATAGATTTATAGTATTTTTTTTTAAAAAAATAGAATGGAACACCTAAAGTTTTATTTATTTTAAATCTTTTTAAATAACGCCATTAATTATTTATACTTTAAATAAAAGAATTTTTTTAAACATGGTATCTGAATTATGGAAATATTTTACAAAAGACAAATATAATTTTGCAAAATGCGTTATCTGCGGAATCATCTGAGTCTGCCTTCAGTACGGCAGGAGATATAGATGGTCCATATCGTAGAAGCTTATTCCCAGAAAATCTGGAGGCTCTCATATTTATTAAAAAATCTAATATATTATAATTTTATATATTAAATATTACAATTTTATAATTCATACCAACATAAAATGGATATATTATTAAATATATATTTTTTTATTATAGTCTTAATTGTAGAAATTAAAAAACTAAATTAAATTCATAATTCGATTTTTTGCATAAAAAATCTTGATTTCTTAATTACATTTAGTTCAAATGGGGGTGATTAAAAATCAGTATAAATATTGGATGGGTTTTGAAGCAATATCGGATCGGATCGGTGAAAAATATGTGGAGATCGGCACAGCCCTAATAAAAATGAAGGAATGGTGGTTGATATGAATTAAAAACTCGATTTAAATTATTTATATTATATTAAAAATTAATAAAAGTAATTTTATATATTTTTCTTTTTGTTAATATTTTCTAAGAAAAAGTATAAAGTAACGATTTGCGTTACCTTTATTCAAAAAAAGAAACGCGTTTTCGTTATTCGTTACCTCTAGAAAAAGGTAACAAATAGCGTTCCTTTTCTACAAAAAAAGTAACATTAGTAACGACATTACTCTTTTGACATTACTTTACAGCACTAGAAATTCTGATCATCATTAAAAAAATAATAGGAAACTGTATATATAAAATTATTCTTTAATAGCTATATAAAGTAAAACAATATTTACTATATATCAGATATTTGCAGAGGTACCATTTGCATTACCCTGTCCAGTTTTTATATTTTCAGGCCCAACCCGATTTTTAAAAAAATATATATTTATTTTAAGCGAATAATGTCGATTTAAAAAATTTCAAAATTTTTTTTTTAGGCCCGGCCAGGGTATTTTTAAAAAAATTACGGCGTGTACCCGGGCTTAGGGCCAGGCCTCCAGGTCACTGCTATATATCTTATAAATACAAACCTTTTTAAAAATTTAAAGATAAGACATATTTTTAGAATTTTCAAGCTTTGAGACTTTTTTGATTTTTAGAGCTAGGATAAGGGAATATTCTGATATTAATACGCTTTTTAAAAAAAATTTATCCACATATTTTTATCATTCCATTATCTTATGAATCAATGTAAATATCGGTATAAAATCAGTATCGGTGCAGTTTGAAATAAATGATCAGTGGCAAAATTTTACATATCTACCAAGAAACAGATGATAAAATGTTTATTTAAAAAGTAAAGGGTCTAGATAAAAACTAGTTTAAACTTGTCTTATTTTGGCACCGTTAGGACCATGATTTTTGCCCAACTTAGACAGTCTCCCATTTTACGACTTTACTTTAAAAATAAATATTATCTGTTATATGCTTATTTTAGCTAGGGCAATCCGATTTAATATTACCGATATTAAAAGTATATTAGCCCATTACTATTCTATCTGATATAATCTGATTGTGTGTGTTCTTTATGCATATTTAATTCTTAAATGTGTAAAAAGTATACAAAATATTTTTATTAATAAATCATTTATTTTTTATATAATAATAGTAATACCAATTATAAATATATTCATTATTTATATAGTAATTAAACAAATATACTAATAAATTTTAAACCAAACATTCAATATTCTTGAGAAAAAGGAGTCACTTAAAATAGCTAAATATTCTGATATCTCTCAAGAATATATTTTCATTCCCATCATTTCCACAACCTTTACAACTTTTGGGAAATATGCCTTACCTTTTTTCAAGGAACTTGGCTCTAACATTGTCAACTAACCGGTGAACCCCGCGAAGGCTTCTTCTTAAGACAAAGACTACCATCCTTCCTCCTTCCTTCCTTCCTTCCTTCCTTCCTTCCTTCCTTCCTTCCTTCCTTCCTTCCTTCCTTCCTTCCTTCCTTCCTTCCTTCCTTCCTTCCTTCCTTCCTTCCTTCCTTCCTTCCTTCCTTCCTTCCTTCCTTCCTTCCTTCCTTCCTTCCTTCCTTCCTTAAAGAAAGAAAGATTTTCTCTTCTCTCGCCATAGCGATACACAAGGCAAATTATATTAGCTTCATAGGCAGTCTCATTCCACAAGATGACCGTTTTAACCTCAATATTTTTTACTGTTCCCCCCTCTCTTTTTGTTTCTCCTTATTACTAATATAAATAATATTGTATATTCTCAAAATATTATTTTTATTACATAATTATATTTTATTAATAAAGTATAAATTAAAATTAATAATTAAAATTATTATATTGAAGATTTCTTTTCAGAAGTACCAAAATTTCTAGTTTATCCGAGGGGGACTTTCAATATCACTTTCACTAAAAACAGATTCTGTTGATACACTTGCAATATATGTTGCTAGATATTGATGAGTAAGTTTAGGAGATATTTATGACAGTTCACAGCCCAATATTTTAAAGGATCTGCGGGGTTATTATCATTTATTGCTTTAAATATTGATTCCTTAAGATAATATTCAATTTCGAGGGAATAGGGGCAAATTTTGATGGTATTGTTAATTAAATTAGACTCTTTATTAGCTTTAACAGTATCAGCATAATATCCCCACAAACTAAATATGCCAGTTGAATTGGTTGCTGATATTGATGGAATTTTATTTTGTATTTTCTATACTATATAAATGATAAAAAACAATATTTAATTTAATTTTTTCATAGACGGTGAATTAATTTCTTCACAAAAATTGTTGCTAATGCAGTCTTAGAAGTAGTTTTTATTTATAAAGTATTGATTGAATTGAAAAAATTGTTTTGCGGGATCCAAAATTCTTGATTGGAAGTAAATTTTTTCGATTAATAATATAAGAAAAACGCATAATGATTTCTCTATATCGCATTCTTCATCTGAGCACCTGTATCATGCTCATTATGATTAGCACGTTCTTTTTTAAGTAATTCTACGAATGGAATAACATACTAATTGGTGCATTTTCTCCAGTAATTTCTTTTGTAATGCGCTATATTGGTAATAAATTCAGCTGGAATTTTTTAAAAAATTAAAATTATCATGTCATGTCGTAAAATTTACTAATATCGGTGATAACCGATATTTAGAAAAAAATGAATAATCGGCCCGATCCTATAAAAAAATATGACCACATCCTTAAAAATAAGAATAAAAATATATAATTAAAATATATTTATATTATGAACGATCAGGACATTTAAAAAATCGGTTCATTCCAATACAATTTAACATAAGATTGATTTATTTTAATTTAAATTTTTATTCCTGCATCTCCAATTTAGCCAATTATTCAGCTTCATTTATATTTTCTCTAAATTAAAGTTTTCTTTTTTTCATCTCCATTTTAGCCCTTTCTCATTTAAACTAAATTACATAATATTTTTTTTTGATTCGAACTTCGAAATGATTTCAATTTAAAATAATTTTTGTAAATCACAAAAAAATGAATATTTAAGTTTTTTTGTATTATTGCGATACAAATTTTAAATCTTTTAAACTCCTGAAATAATTAATATCCCAAAATGAGAATATTCCAGTTTCTGGGAATGTAAGTTCAGCTCTGATCAACAGTTAATTAAACATGTGTGCTATTTTAATTGTAGGTCTTTTATACCTTATGCAAGTTTCTTTATTTATCTGAGGCAGAGCAACAATACAATCTTTTTTGGCATATAAATTTTAAAAATCTTATCTTGTTAAACTTATATTTAGTTAGATAATAAAAATGATACCAAATATTATGGCTATTGCAAATTGTTTTCTGACACCTTCACTACCCATTATAATTCTGCTGTTTACGGTTTGATACATTTTATAGAAAATTTTAATCATATTAATTACACATAATATAATTTTAGGAGCTCTAAGCCTAAAGCTATCGAAATCGTCCCAAAAAATAAAAAATGTGCTATCTATTCAAGCGATAGTAGTGACAACAACGATAAAAATCATATTAAAATAGAAAAAGTCAACCACGATGAAAATCAAATTCAATTAAGCAACGACAAAAATCAAATAGCCAATGAAAACAAAATCGTTCCTATAGACATAGTTGATCCTAGTTCACTCCTTGGCACCTTAGTTGCCAGTAAGCATCCTGCACTTCACTCAGATGTTTCCACCGATACATTACCTTCTCTTATAGAATGTCCACTTTCTAAGAACGAATTTAACGAAAAAAAGTTTCTGGAAGCCGAAAGGGTTGAATATAACAATTTTAATGACTCTAATGATCCAGTATCCTCTGGGGAAGAATTTTTGGTTCTAAATACTAAATCCACCAAAAGATTGGCACATAAAATAACTACTAAATCATCACTTAAGATTCAAGAATTTAAAAAACGATTGAGGAACAAAAACGACGTCAATAATATAGATTCGAGCGACGAAATTATTACGAAGGACTTGATCGAAAGTTCATTATCTCAGAGTGATAACGAAATTTCGGCACTCAAAAGAACCAGATCTAGTGTCAAAAAGTTTAAGAAGGTACAGTTATTGAGCGATAAATGCCATAGTGCAAATAACAGGAAGTCAGAAAAAGGCGGGAAAAAGGACATTCAATTAGATACTTCGGATAAGGTAATATTAAACAAAGAAAAATCTTAATTAACAATGTTTAAATATAAATTATTTTAAAATGCCTAATGTTTAATTTATAAAATCATAATTGAGGATAAAACGCTCAGATCTTTTCAATTTGAGCTAAACCTGTTATTCTGTTTAACGTTTAAATCTGAATAGCTAGCAAAACCCACTGTTCGAGATTCATTCTCCCATTCCTATAAATGTCAAAAAAAATGTATAATCTTGATTTTTTAAAAGGAATTAGAAGTTATGAATTCAAATGAAGGCGAAGAAGAGAGCGATACAAATGAATCTAGAATTGCCAAAAATGTTAGAAAAAACATAAGGAAGATCAAATCCATGACTCAGCTGAAAATGGAAACGCGGGAAGCAGCTAAATCCGAGCAAGCTAGGCTCAAAAGGATATCGGAAAATAGGATCTCAAAAATGGTTACTTCTTTTTATTTCTTTTATTTAATAGTATTAGTATCTATTAATATACCTAGAACAAATGCGAAGTTAAAGTCTATCTTATAAAGCTTATTTAAATTTTTTGTTCAATTTTATTTAAAAATGAATATACACTAGAAACAAATACTCGAAGAGGAAGAACTAAAAAAATTAGCTGACAATTTGATAAAGGAATTGGTTTTAGAATTGCCGGATCAAGACGGGACCGGGATAAGTCTTAAGGTTGATCCCACTATTGTACAACATTTGAAACCTCATCAAGTCAAAGGTAATTTAGTTTTAATTTTATTAGAAATTGATTTTTTTTAATTGCAAATTTTTTTCGTAATTAAAAGAGAATTTATTTATAATACATAATAAATGGATACACGTGCGTAAATAATATCATGCTAGGGGATGAATGAATGAATTTTAGATATGATTATAATATATTTATTAGATATTTTATTTTTAAAAACATTGCGTTTCATGATCCCGCCAATTATGTGTTGATAGGGAAATGACATCCTTATAAAATATTTAATCAATTTTTTGAATATCTATAAATAATACATTAAAATAAATACATACAACAAAGGAATAACTTTTCTCTACGAAAACGTGATAGAATCTTGGAAAAGATTTAAAAATGGCACGGATGAAGGTAACGGGGCAATTCTGGCTCATTTAATGGGTTTGGGAAAGTCGTTACAAATCATAACTCTGGTCCACACGTTACTTTCCAACACGCATTTTAAAACTCATATAAAAACGTGCCTAATCATATGCCCTCAAAATACCTGTATAAATTGGATGAACGAGATGGGCAAATGGACCAGTCAAGCTAATGACCCTTTACTAGTTTTTAAAAAAAAATTTCCTCTTTAATTTAAAGGAAAAATGCTCTAATGATTGATTTAACATTCACTCAAATTTAAATTATTAGAGAGAAAAAATCGAATTTGAGGAAATTTAGTCATGAATTTCATGATAATTTTTTAAAAATATATGGGGGTTTTTTAATATGAATTTACAAGAATTAAGACTAGTTCAAAAGTAATGGCGTTTAAGCTGTTGTTCAGATTTAGGTACATAAGTTATTTATACTCATTTATATTAACCTTTTATATTTTAATTTAGAGTCTATTACTAATAATTTAAATAATCATTATCTAATTGTTAATATAACCTAACCTAAAATATTATGCTTTTTAGCTATTTCTTGAAACTCCTTTTCTCTTCTGAACTTATTTTTATTCTTGTTTACTACTTATATTTCATATAGCTTGAGATTTTCTTATATCCTTTATAAAGTTTTCAATATTAAATTTATCAAAAATAAATAATATATGGAATAAAAGAATAGTAAGTTTATAGTTTGATTAAATAAATGTTATAACATTAATCTATATAATTTTTTCAAATGAAAAATGCTGCTTGAAATTGCGAATTCGCAAAAATGCAATAAATTAATTTTGACGATAAAAAAATGATTATTTTTTAATACGCAAATATTTTCTACGACACTCGCGTCTGTTTATATTGTTTTCAAATTTTCCGAAAATTAAATGCGCTAATATATAAATTTTTTTAAATTACCTGCGAAGACATGGTATGACAAATTTTTTCTACACATATTTTTTGGCCATATAAGAGCAAAATATGAACGTAATATATAATGTATAGTATAAATTGAGCGTTTACTTTTTTGACGTAATTTTTTAATGAAAAAAGCGTAACGCATCCCTTATTTAAATCGAGGTTGCTTCTTTTATTAATATCGTCTATTCAAAATTTTAACTAAGTTCTAAAAAAGGATTTGTCCATAAAAATTATATTATTGTATGCTTTTTTATTTCTTTTATAAGTTAATTATTTTTTTTACACTTTATGTAATATTACAAAATGGAGTATTGAAAAAACAAACATATTAGCGTTTTTTAAAATAGTTGCTAAACTCTAAACCGTAATTTTATCAAATTTGTACGATGCTATATGAAATGCATTATTTGCATTTGAAACGCTCAATTTGTGTGCACGATAATCCAATTATTTTACTCAGAGGTATCATATAAAAATGGTAGAAAAAATACCAAAACAACTTTTCCTTTCAAGATATTTGATATTTAATAAAATTTGTTTCCTATATACTTAATTTCATTTATTTTAAGAATTGATCATTAGTATTAAGCTGGAAAGAGGATACTAAATTTTCCCTCTTTCCTTTTATTTGCATTTATAATATTTTTTGTCATGAAAATATTAAATCATGTAATAGTAAATGCTTTATGATTTTGATTGATACCATTTTCAGAAAACTATGATAAATCATTTAAGAATATAAAATTAATAAAATATCTACTACTTCTTGAAAATTCAATATTATTTAAATGGTTAGTATATATTTATTCTAAAGTTTTGCGAAATATAAAGCTTTAGAACAGCTATTTGCTTTATTTCAAAAAATATTAACGCTCAATTTGTCTTTGTTAACGATCTGAAGAATCAGCTCAATTCTTTAAATATATGAGATTAAATAAAGTATGTATTTTGATGTTAATTATAATTATTTTAATAATATTTAAAACTTTTTTTATTTTAAAATATACAAGTCAAAAAATAAAAACCAACAAAACAAATTTTATTAAATACACAATATCTTGTAAAGAAAAGTTAATTACTACTCTTAGGGAATGATATTTTAAAAATACTATTTAATATATATTAATTTAGATATTTAGGGACAGGATGTAGTTATTTTATACGTTATCATAGAACATAGTCCATAGATTCAGATATCTTGCTCCTACTATAAAATAGTCCATCCTCCTTTGGTAGAGCTAAATTCATGGCCTCTACACAAGACCATGAATTACGAAATTTGATACTATCTTTTAAAAATATAAGGTATTCATAACATTGTCAATTGTAAATGGCCTTATCCTTCAAACCACTTCCACTTTTAGTTGGAGAATTAATTAAATTTCATTCTTTCACATAACCATCTCTTAATGCTTTCCAACATCTTTTAATCTGTTCTACTAAATAAATATATAAAAAAATATTAATATAAAGTGAATAAAATATATTCGTAACCTTCAAATCTTTAGCGATACTCAACTAATGATTATTCTCGTATACTTTTTTTATTGTCTTAACTTTTATTATATAAGCACTTATCGACTTTCACTTATACTATTAAGGTAAATTAGTCTATTTCTTTTCTATATATATTTTCTATATAATTTTAAATATATTCTTATTTGTTTTTTTACTATATTTTTATTTTGATATCGTTCATATTTGTATTTAATTTTTAAATTGAAACCGTTTTTTAAAAAAATAAAAAGTTTACTATAATAAAGTTAAAATAGAGATAATTATTTTTTATAATATTTTAGAAAATCTACCTTTTTATAGAATTTGCTATTATTTTTATAATCATATCGCATTCTTTTTATAAACACATCACAACATATGTTTATCAAATTTTATCATAGCTTTATCATCATAACTTTCCATATTAATAGATAATACTTATTTATTGGCTTGATTTTGTAAATAACGCTACGCTTGAACATAGCGCGTTCGCTATAATAAATCTTTACCTATTAATGGTAAGGGAATCAAAATTTCTGAAAAAAAGTTAATAAAATTTTGATTTCCAAATCTTTAAGGCTGGGTATATTTAATCCTAAAAATACAAATCTATATAGTTGATTCTAAAACAGCATCGTCGAAGGTGTCAATAAATTGTGTATATTATTTATAGGTTTAAAATTAAAAATATATATTGATCTTCATCACTGAACCTGAGATACAAAATTTTGAAAAAAGCTGATTATTATTTTACAATTACTTCGATTGTACGAATTTGCAAAATTAATTTGCGAATCGCAGTCATTCTGCAACGTTACACACAGGACTGGATCTAAATATTTATTTATTTACCCGTAACCAGTCATGAGCTGCTATTTTAATAGGGCCGGCCGCATTTTTTAAAGAACCGGGTTAGTACCAGATCCATTAATTATATTTCGAATATCTAATTAAAGTATGTAAAATTATTGAATGGGACGTATACGCGCATCCCCCCCCCCCTAAAAATTAAAGAGATGCTGGGACGAATTTTTCATCATTGCTAGAGTTTTCCCTTAATTCATATTTTAAAATTGATATGACATCAAACTAACACTTTTAGTATTAATAGTTTTTAATAAAAGTACATGTTTGACCTAATATAGACTAAATATACATATGCCAATTCTGAAAAATGTTAAAGATTTTTTTATAAAAAATATATTTTTTATGTATTAGTATTGGGGATTATTCAATGTCAGGGATAAGAAATCCAGGAAAGGTATGCTCAAAAATTGGCACAGCACTGGCGGAATATTAATCATCGGTTACGATCTATTTAGAACGATGATATCTACCAAAACCAAGAGTTCGACGTACACGAATATCGTCAATGGGACGTTATTGGACCCAGGTATTTTTTTTATTAATGGACTAGGGCGTAAGAAAGAAAGAAGATATAGGATTTTCCTATCATCCAGGATAATAATTTTCGTCAAAAAAATCAGTAAAGATTATGAAATTTCTCAATACTTTGCATCATTTTAAAATTTTATTAATATTAAGTGATAACACTTAAAAGATACTATAAAAAATGAGATGAAATTATATTTAAAAAAAATGGGCATACCCATAATGAAGAATTAAAAAAGAATTTTTTTTAATATACAAAAATAGAATAAATGACGATTTCTATTTTTTTGATTCGGAACCTTTCCTTTTTTTAAAATAAATTGAAAATTTTCATTTTTGTTTAGGAAACTATAAGAATAATCATAATTTTTTAATTAAATAAACAAATTGGTAGAATATTTCCAAAGACATCCTATAATCAGATTTTTATAATTTGCAAAATTATATAGACTTTAATATATAAATATTATTATATCGTCTGAAAAAAATTGTACATTCTATTTTACCCTCGCGCGCACTTTTATAAATTTACTTTATGCTCATATTTTATTAAGAATTTAATTAATTCCTCTACAAAGAAATTCTTCTCTTTTTATTTCGGTTCCAGGTGGAGAAAATATTTCTATTTTTGACAGATTTGGCTTGAAAAAAGGGCCTGCGACAGATTATAAAGGCATAATTTTATAAAATATGTTCTTACTATTGACTATTTTCATCAATAAAAATATTTTAAGATATTTCAGTAACTAAATAGTTTTGTTACCTTTTTCAATCAGTTTACTTTAAAATTATATACATATCATCAAAATACTTTTTTACACTAATTGTAAAAGTCAGTTTAATATGTTAGCCGTTAAAAGGGGATCCAGTTGTTTCAAACGGATATATTATATACGGAATAAAGTAAAAATGAAAAAAAAATTAGCTAAGAATGTTAACAAAAATTAATTGTAAAAAAGAATTCTTCCAAAAATGTATTTCTTTTAGAGGAATATTATTTATTGAAAAATCTACCACTTGAGATATTTATTTACAATTAAGAAACCGCGCCCTCAAGTATTTAAATATCTAGAAATTTTATATATGAACCTTATTTTACTACTATTTTTTTTTGTTAGAAATTTTAAATAGAATCTTTTGCCATTGCGGATTTCTTATTAATTTCTTAAATATAGGGTTTAAGCAAGGTTAAGTTGATATTTATATAATTGTCGGCAGGTTATTTATATACTATATATAGATATTAGAACGAAATCTTTTTTAGGAATATTTTATAAAAATTAACAAAATTTGGATAAAATACTCATATTAGTCTTCAAACTTATACAAATATATCAATAAAACAATTTACACTTGATCTGTTCAATATTATTGATATTTTGAAAAAAAATTTGTTTATTTTTTGGTACTAATATATAAAAACAAAACATGATTCGTTTTTATTTCTTACATTTAAAAAATAAAATATAAGGGCCAGATATATTGGTTTGCGATGAAGGTCATTTACTTAAAAATAGCAGCACCGCGTTATTCAAAGCAGTCAATAAAATAAGAACTAGAAGAAGGATAGTTTTGACTGGAACCCCTCTTCAAAATAATCTTTATGAATGTTTATAAATATCATTTTTCCCCCTGAATAAATATATAAGAGTAATCATCCGATTTTTTTAAACACAAAAATTTAATTGTTTCTCTGAAGAAGAATAAATAAATTATATAAATTTTTAGTAAATACTTTAGGCTACCATATTTAAACTTAAAATTTTACAATTATGGTAAATAAGACGTAAATTTATTTTAATTCTTGTCCCTACCTATATATTTATCTTAAATAATATTTTACAAATGCAAATATAAAACAGATCATTGCATGGTGCAATTGGTTAGACCTAGTATCTTGGGCAGTAAAACGGAATTTCAAAACATGTTCGTAAATCCAATTAGAAACGGGCAATGCGCCGATTCCACAGAAAGAGACGTTAAAATCATGAAAAAACGAGCTCATATATTGCATCAAAAACTTTCGGGGATTATTCAAGTTATTATTCGATTTTTTCTTTTAAAAATTAAGGTCCTCATTAATATAAATATATATAATATTCATTTATGCAAATATTTAAAAAAAATTATATTATAATTTAATCATTATATAACCTTTTTAAGTTTATTTTATTCAAACAGGTAGAGGTAAGACCTCAAATAAATTTTTGAAATCATTAATAGCAAACCAATTTGGCTATTAGTAGACCTACTAGTATAAATATATTACTTAAATATAAAAATACAAATAGGACGTATAAAGATAATCAAAAGGAGAGAGGATTCTATAGATAGGCATGTCTCTTCTTCAAAAATAATTTGATGAATTTTCTGCTATTGAGAGATAAGTTTTACATCCGCTTATCAAAGAGGATTACATTCAATAGAATATTTTTCCTCTAAGAGAAAAAAATTAGTTCATAATTTGTTTACATTTTACTATTTTATCTAAAAATAAACAATTTTTAACAACATTACTAAACAGAAAAGATTAAATTGTGCTTAATATGAATTGGACAAAAGAGCAATAAAAGGACTCAACATTCAGCAACGAATTAATAATGGATATAAGTTTTAAGTCTGTACGAAATTGGGTTATAAGACCCTAAGCAGAAAGCTTCCATCCTTTGTTTAATTAAGAACCAGTAAGTTTCCGGATAGTATATTGGTATGATATTGGGTTACATATATGTTTATCTTATAAATAATATAATGAATGTCGTTAATGATATATCATCTATGAAGTTCACTGATCCCATTAATTCATTTATTAATACATGAAGCAAATTACATCTACTAGCAAGATGGAACTTCTTGTCAAACTCAATATCTACAAAATCTTGCGAGGATCATAAAATCCATCTGTCTCTTTTATTCAGATTTCAATCTATTGAAAACATTTGAGGTTTACTCAAAGGAATCTTACATAGTAGCGATCTAAAACAAAAGAATCTTTGAATAATAAAGAGTTTAAGGAAATCAATATATAAAGTATGTGCCAGAATCTTATTAATTCAATGCCACAAAATATAGCCACATTTATAATTCCCAAGGTAGATATAACACAATTTTAATATATATTGCTAAAATAATGGTATTGGAGTGTTTATGATTATTGAAATTTAAATAACTTAAAATAATAAGGGTGTATTAGTAGTAGATCAAATGAAACCTTCAGCATATATTATGATTATTCTTTAAACTAAACGATAGTTTTTAAAAAAATCTTATACAATACAATTAACATACAAAATTAATTAAATGCCGATATTAGAATCAAGAATGATAAAATTCAAATTAATTAATCTAAATTTGAGATTCACATGAAAGCGAATAACAGATAGATAAATTTCACTAGATTTTCTACAGTATGAGAATAAAATTTATTGGATAATAATGTTACACTAATGGAATAGTCGGTGTGTATTCCTGACTTTAAAATCTAATTGGAAATATTATGGGAAATTATGAAATGATCTGAGAAAAAGTCTGAAAAATATCACCAGACCTTGATTTAATCAATGCCATTAGAATCCTGGCAGTTATTAGTACGAAACGAGAAGCTGCTTGATTTTAACTTAAACTATTCTAATATGTATTATAGCAAACATTATTTTTTAAATACATTTAGTGAACATTGTGTTGGTAGAGATAAATATTGTATCCATATTTCATGTAGTTTTTATTTTCAATAATAATCAAATTTACTTATGTGTTAATTTATATCATCTTTTTATATATTATATTTATTAAACCTTTTTAAAGTGGTTATTTTTATTTTGTAATTATGTTCATTTTTTCCAAACAAATGACGTCGGGTAGTATTTCTAATTTAAAAAAAAGGTGTGTAATTGATTTTTTTTATTATTTGAATGAACCAACCTCTACGGATATTTAATATATATTAACTTTATGAATAAAAATATGCATAAAACATTTCATATTAGCGAATGGACTATACAACCCTCAAAAACGACCAATTATCAAATAATACATTTGAAATTGATGCCCTCACTCCAAAATATGAATACATTGTGTACGTTAGGCTGAGCCATAAACAAATTCAGATGTACAAACATTACCTTCAATCCAGCCTCGAACATAATAATTCGACGAGTTCCGCTAATGATAATCTGATGGAAAACACTCATAAAAGGTCTAAAAAGGTTGGTCAGACTTTAACGGAAAATGGCGAAAGCGAAGATGAAAACATGATAATATCGGCCAATATATCTGGAAATAAATTCAGTATTTTTATATGTTACCAAGAGCTCTACAATATCATAGTTCATCCTTGGCTTTGTCCCATGATGGAAGCTAGGAGAGAAGCCGCCAGGATATCCAAAGATTACGTATATTTTTTTTGACAAGTGAAACTTATTTTTCGGAAATAATTATAGGATTTATATTTTACACTTTTCTTATGTGATCTGATTGCGTTTACCTCCTTTCATTTAAAAAAAATAAAAAAAATATCAGTCTGACAATGAAGAGACCGACGAAGAGGTCTTGGGTAAAGATAGTTCTTCAGAATCATCTATGCAGACGATATCGAGTGAGGAAAGTTTGGAGTATATTAGTGAAGGAGATTTGTCTAACTTAGGAAATCACAAAAGACGGAAAAAATCCAATAAAAATCAATCCAAACTAATTGATGATGATTTTCCTCCGTCTACTCGCAGGCTCACGAGAAATACTTACAAGTATTGGGAAATTTCTTTCATGATTTATAGATTGTGAGCATGTTAATTGTTATAAGCAGGGCTGCTTGTTCTATTTTCTTTTATCACTGAAAGTTACTAATTTTATTTTGAAGATTTCCTGTTATAATAATAATTATTATAAAAAAAATCATTATTTAAATATCTGGTTATAATTAGATGCAATGGGCGGGTAATAGCCAGCCCACGTCTGCTCATTCTACGGGCTAGTGGGCTAAAAGATGTTAAACAATGAGCGGGTGAGCGGGCAAAAAATATTTATTAGAACAATGGGCGTGTTAAATTGAAATATTTTTCGTGCTAAATGAGCAAAACAACTTCTATTTATTTAAATTCTGTTTTTTTATTTCATAATATTACATTTTAAGTTTAAGTAAAATTATATTAGAATAAAATAAATGAACCAAACCGACTAATAAAATAACTTTTAAGCAAGTGAATTTTTTGGGCCCATTGCGGACCTCTAGTTCTAACACTTTTGGTCCTTAGGAGTCCCCTCGATTACATCTAAAAAACCTTTAAATATAATTTTAAATATTTTTTATGTATTACGGTATATATATTTTTTTTCATGTTAATCGGATGGCATTATTATTTATGGCGGAGAAATTCTAAGGTTAGCCATCTTATTTCCTTTGAAAAGTTGCATGATCATGAGCGTCTCCTGGGTTAGGTTGAATTACTTCATATCATCTCTGAAGCTTTAATCTATTTTTCCTCTACAAAAGACATTGGCAATCCTAAGACAAATATTACTCTTCTATCGTAACTTCCTCATTTGCGTTCTCTCTAATTTAGCCAAATGAATATATTTCACTGTACTGTTTCACTCACATATGCAACTCCTAAAGTTTCATAGATATTTATCTTTGTAGGCAACCCTTTTTGTGGCTTAGGATGGGTGAGAATATACAAAATCTTTTCTATGTGTTCATTATCCCTTCTACCACTGCAGAATCAGTTCTCCTATCAACATTTAGCATACCTTCCAAGTAAAATTTTCAACTTTGTCCAGAGTGATATTTTTTGTGAAGCAAACGTTTGATTGATTTAAATCTTTTACTTTTGGCTGTTTTTAAATTTAAAAAAAAATCGATTTAATTATAAATATATATTCTAGCACATGCAGATTCTTAACCTTTGAATTTCAGTCGCCATTTTTAATTTATATAAAAAATTAATATAAATTAATAGTAGTTCAAAAGATCAAGTCAAAAGTGTCCGAAATTAGAGTATCGTTACTCTATTCATGCTCAAATTCCGGTCAAGCCATATTTCTCAAATTTATAAATCACTGGATAGATTATTTAAAATTGAGAAATTTCATTTCCATGAGTTCCAATACAATATATACATCATAATTGAAAATATGATAAAATTTGATGGGCTTTCAAAGTATAAAAATGTAGTTCTCAAAATAATATTTTTTATTTTATTTTTTTAAATATTTATTGAACTGTAAATGATATGGAAATTTTAAATATCTAACTATTTCTATAATTTTTTAAATGACTAAACCTTTCCTCTTCTGCTCATTGCTCATACGAGAGGTCAACACTAAAATCTATTTTTTTTTACATTTAAATAAAATTGCACAACAGAAGTATTTTTGGAGGTATATAATCATAATAATTTTAAAACGATACTATGATAATTACACGATTGGATACATTTTTAAGTCATTCGAAAACATTTTGACTCCTCCATTATATTACGGCAAGGGATTTGGGATTGGTTAAACCGATCAATAATTTTTTTAAAGAATCGCTCGCTCCCTGTAAAATTGTAGTTCCCGAAAATATTTAATCGCCCAGAATAACATTATAGACCATTTCTATAATAATATTAATAGGAAACTTTCGTTTGTAAATAAAATTAGACTGTATAAACCCATCTGCTTAATTAGAAATACAAATCCCGTGCAAAACGAAAAAATTGAGTTACCAGAAGATGGCACCACATCCTCTACAACTCTCAAAAATTTTACAGGAGATGAAAAATGGTTTGATCAAGAAGAGCATTGGTGGAATAAATATTTATCTCAGTCCGATGCCTTAAACGTTTGTTTGGGTGGTAAAATAGTTCTCTTACTGGAGATCTTGAAAGAATCTGAAGCCATAGGGGATAAAGTGTAAGAAAAATGTATATTTGAAGCACTTATTTTTAAAAAATTCAATTTAAAAGGATGTTTTTTTTTAATCACTAACTTAATTATTCTATAGATATGTGAATGTTTACTCAGAGATGTTATGTATAATTAATAGAATATATATTGCTCATTTGTACATAAAATAGATATATTTCTTGTTTTATACATAATTAAAAGAATATTATCTCTGTAAGATAGAAAATATATAACATATTATATTGATGTTATATTTCATCTCTGGGTACATAATTTTATAAATTTATCATAATGTCGAATTTATGAAATCCTTAACTCCATTTAATTTTATATATTGTCATCACCACTTCAACCTCATAAGTAGCATAGCATTTTTGAAAGTGTTCAGGCAGGAGAGATAAATAAACTATTATGTTATTATAATTGTAAAATATATACTTATTAATAAATTTTAAAATTGTTTTTTTAAAAAAATATTCACATATGTGACCCCTAACGAGTTTTTTTTAAAAGAATGCCCTGGCAGGATGGTATTCTGGCCTTTATAACCTCACCCATTACTGAATAAAATAATTTCATTAGTATCATTAATAAATTATAATTAATCAACAATTCTTGGCAAAAATAGAGTACTCTAGTCCATCCTCTCCTTCATGCCACAAACATTTTTGAGATGTGATTGTACATTGTGAAATTATGAAAACATAATTTACTTTTATATTATACTACACACGCATTTATAGAGGGTGGCACCTTTACCGCTTGTAAATCCACCGAAAGGACACCTACATTAAAGTTAGTAATTGCTCTCTCCGTTATTGTAGCTTTTTTATATTCCTTTTTTTTTATAATTCTCTCTGGAATAGTGTAATTTCTAATGGTTTTATACCAGTTTTTGAGCATTCCATTTTGTACAACTTCCATATAAGATTGAATCGGCTGTTCGAGATACAATTTTTAGAACTTTTTCTACAGTCGTTAGATTGTAATTTGGGTAAATTGGATGAAAATTTTTATTAATAAATATATGCAATCATATTTTAATCGTAGTGCCTGCTCCTTCTAGATAAAGACCAGTTTTAACTATTTTAGTGCATCCCACTTCCACATAATATTGAGCAAGCCCAATTACGAAACATCAACTAGACCAGTGGTCTTGAGAAGCATTCCTTTGCACACTTGCAACGTTCCTCATTCTTCTTTAAATAATAGATCAACGTGGCTTTACATTAGTGTTGTTAGATAGTCCGATTTGGGTCGATTTTTAAAACAATCCATTTATGATCTTTACACATAATTTCTATGTTAAATTGAATTATAGGCATAAAATATCAACAAGGAAACTCACATATTTTCTCATAACCCAATCTATTTCAGTTCAAAAATTCTTCACAATTTCTGAGTTTTTTTTTGGGTAATTTTCTTGTCCTACCCCTGTTTCATTTTCATTATTTACATTAATATTCATAAAATTAATTAAATTTCTGAATTTTCATGATTGGATAAGATACTGGATATCAGAGAAGCTATCTAAAATAATTTGGGCAAAAAAAATATTTATAAGAAGGAACATGAGTTACAAGGTTGTAATTTCATTTTGGATTTTATTTTTTTTAAAAAAAATCTGAAAACAAGTAATTTTTTTTAAACATATCAGTTACGAGGTTTTGACAACATTAAAAATTTGATTTACAATTTTAAAAAAAATATACAAAACTAAATATTTGGAAAAATATCAGTTATGAGGTTTTGATGACCCTTTTTTTTGTCGTCAAATGTGAGGTTATGTTATATAATAATTAAAAAAAACTTATTTTTATTGGAATGAGACACTACTTTTTTAGCAGATGATAGCTGACTTAATGGACCATTTATCTAAATAATTTATTTTGAAAAAAATGCTACTTACGAGGTCTTGCAGTGGTGACGACGATATATAACTTTTTTAGTCTTAGTATGTTTTTCAGAAATTTAGTTGCTTTTTAAAATATACATAATAATCTTTTTAACACTAATTATATGACAGGAAGATTATTTAAAAAAAATATCATTTTGTATCTGAAAGTGGATACTATTTGAATAAATAAATTTAAATAACCTTGAATTCACAATTAGTAAGACAGCGAAGAATACAAAAATAGAGCATATTTTGTATACTTCTTCCCAAAATCACGCTAGTCAACGCAGGGTACGGTTTTAAATATATTCAAGAACAGGAATTTTTAGATATGTAGACACCTTTTTAATTAACGATAACTTATTATATTTTTTTCTTTATTAATTTATTATTTAAAAAGATAATTTAATTTTATAATATAATTGAGTAAATGCAATAAAAAACAACAAATATCCACTTTATAGATGTCTTAAGCAAATGAACAAAAAATCCATTTTTCAAATAGTCAGTTGTAGACCTATGCGCCGATGTCTCAATCGACGGCGGCGGTATTTTTTAATTTTTTCATCGGCGTTCGGTAGCGCGATATTTATTTAAAAATTTTTTTTAATGAATTTAATTTATAAATCGATGTATACATTTTTTTTTAAATTTATTTGGGCGCTCTTTTTTAATTCATTTCTTAAATTATTTCCTGTCTCACTCCAATAAATTTATGTATTTTCTTATTCTCAGAAATAGACTAAGGAATTGCATTTTTACTAAAATCAGTGACACATATTAGTAATATTCAATTGATTTTTATTATAACAAATTAAAATATAAATTTGGAATGCAAGCATGAATTATTTTTTTAAATAGAACTCCTCTTCAATAATATAGATCTCAGATAATATGGTTCCCCCAATATGCTTTTTGTGTCACATTTCTAGTTGCCAGGGTAAAATATTTTAAATCAAAATATTAATCTAAATGATGAGGGCTAAATGTGATATAATTTCGACGCTTGAAATGGGTCCATAAATCAAAAGTGATAGAACAGAATTTTGGCCCAGAATCACAGATTTAAAACATATATCTTTATATATAAATAAACATCATCTAGTACACCCCGACAATGGTTGTCCTATTAGGAAATTCAGACGAGGAATATCATCTTATATTTCTATTTTTTTAGGCAATATATTTTTTAATAATCATTTTATTTAAATTTGAAACCTTTGGAAAATCAGTCATCTCTTTATTATTTATAGAATCAAATGGGAGTAAATTTAACCAGCACATCAAAACATAATTTCGCCCTTATTAGATTTCATATTTATTTTTTAAACATTAAAATAAGAGCTGGAATGAAAGAAATAAAGAAGTTGATTGCATTTTGAACTTTCAAAATAATGTTTACATAATTAATTTAATAAATTATAAATTTAAACATTAAAAAGATCTCAAAAATAGGGCGGACAATAAACAAACTAAAAATTTAGTTGTTTTGAACTTTCAAAATAAAGCTTATTAAAATTAATTTTATAAACAATTAAAAATTTTTGCTTCATCTTTGTGTTGGCTTTACAAACATTTTTATGACTTTGTATGGAGTTATTATTAATTTTTTCTGATATTCTATGAACATAAACTAAGTGCCGATAAAGGTATATTTTTACTAAAGCATTTTATTTTATACGAATCTTCCTTATCTTTTCCCCCCAATTTTTAGCAAGGTTCACAATAAATATAATCAGGCATTATTGTGCTTTTCTTATTTTCATTCTACAAAATAAGATTTCCAAAATACCTCCAAATATAACTTGATTTATGATTAGTAGAGGAGTTGTAATTTTATATTTGTATATAGGGTGGTTTAAAACGTGCAAGTCCATAAAAATAATTCATATATGTATTGTTTGTGGAAATAAATATGATGTAGGAATGAATGTAAATGATATACAATATTCTACTATATATAGCAATAGAATACAAATCATATTTTAATTTTATTAATGTTGACATTCAAATTCGCCGCCGCCATAAAAAAATCGGCAGCGAGCCAGCTCGTGCCGACGATCTCAATCGGCGGCTGTTCCGGCGTAAATAAAATTGCCGGTGGCGCACAGGTCTAGTCAGTTTTAATCTATCAAGCTTTCTATCAGTACTTAATAATTAATATAAATTTGATTGGGACTCAAAATTTAGGCCAAATTAAGGAATTGCCCGAATTACCAGTTTTAGTCAATTTTTTTATGATATAATGATTTTATTTCTTACTTGATTCCTATTCTAATGTGCTTATTCACTATAAAAAAGACGAAAAGTGATCTAGCAATTTTCTGTTGAATTCATGACAGACCAGTACCCTCCCCCCCCCAAGAAAATTTATAGAAGACTCTGGTCATAACATTAAAAATGTATAGTATAATATTGAACTAAAAATGTGTGTAGAGTGCCTAAGTTTCAGGCAAAAATTTAAAATATTATTTTTAAAGAAATAGGAAGTTTAATTTAAATTTATTACAAAACAATTTATGCCGGGCTCGGGCCAAAAAAAAATTAAATATACAGGGCTATAAATAAGTATATGAAGGATTATGTTAAAATAAGAATGTGAATAGAATTTATATTGAAATAGTTTGACAACGGATATAGCTATTAAAAAGTTTGTAAGAACTAAATAGCTGGCAATCCTAGAGCTAATACATGCTTCTTTGATTAACCTTATTATTTACTTATATCATATTTTATATAAAATTAAACACACCAAAACTCATACCCAGATTGCTCTTTACTCAAAGCCTCACGACATTGGACTACTTGGAAAAGATTTTATCCTATATCAATAAATCTTTAGACGAGACACTATCCAAGGACGAAATACCTGACCTAAACCCTAAAGCAAAAAATATATTGACTAAAGGTTGGACCTATAAAACATGGATTAAAGGGTTAGATTATTTTAGAATGGATGGTTCCACTTCCATCAATAGTAGGTTTCAATCTACCCAATCCTTTAACGATTTAGACGATATGAGGTATTTCGATATTTTTAAAAATTATTTTATATCAATTTAGTCTCTTTCTTTCTACATATCGGAAGGGAAAGGATAATGTTAATAATTATTATTTATTTTTAATCATTTTTTGGTAAGTTATATAATATACATACCGATAAAAAATAGAACTCATTTTTATATCAGGACTTCAGTTTTCCAAAATTTTATGATCATTTTAGTGTGGGGAAAAATTTTAAACCCGGTTCGATACAAGACAGAGCGGGTTCGACAAGTAGTGTTCAGTTTAGATTCAGAAATTGCAATTATATTTCTTAGAATTCAGTTGAAATTTTTAAATAAATTTATTTTGTTAAAATATAATTTATCGAATTTATAAAGTAAGGATTATTTATGTTATGTATTAAGGCGTTTAGACAATAAAAACTGAATAAATTATCTGAAATTTTTTTACAAAAAATTCCCCTGTATTTTACCTCATACAAGTATCTTTTATGATCTCCCTTAAAAATATATATGCAAGCGCTCATGTATGGTTTAATCTCGGAAATCATTAAGGCATGTAGTTGCTTCATTATTCCACAAGAAAAATTGTTTCTAGCATCGATAAGTTGTTATACATACCATTTTGAAACTGAGTGAGTCGCAAAATCCGCCCGAAAACTAATATTTATTTCGGGTTGGGTTGAATCAGAAAAAAATATATCAGGTGAGTTTCTTGTTTGATAATATTTTTTATAATTTTGAATTTAATCAGTGATATCAATGAATCATGGCTCGATTGTATATATATATTACATTTTATATTTTAGATTTTCGGCTGGTTTTCTTCTTACGGGTTGGGTCAAATGAATTTATTTCTTGCAGGTCTCAAACTACACAAAATATTGGCAAAGTTTTTTTTTGTTTTATTCGGAATAAAATTTTTCGTTTGTTACGATCTCTTATAATAAAATGAAAACTACGATTTAACCTGAATAACCTTTTTTAAAAAATATTATCTTATAAGGTATAACGATGACAATACCTTTAGCGGCGGTGCAAAAATGAACTGGACGGCTTTTTAAATTACCTAGACTAGAGGTCTGCATTGGAAGGGCAAAAAATTTTGAAAACGTGCAGGTGGGCAGGTGGATTAAAAAAATTTAAACTGGGCGGGTGAGTTTGCGGGTTAAGAAATTTAAATAATAGGCGAGTGGTTTAAATTTTTTTTAATCATTTAAGTAAATATTAATAAAAAATTGTTCTTATAAACTTTTTTTGGATATTAAAAATTAAAATGTCCTTTTTTGGTATAAAAAATATTTTCTCTTAAAATAAATAAACTTTTTTACTACTTTGGTGGAAACCAGAGTTGTTAATCGCTACTTTTAAAAGTAGCGCGCTACCGCTATCGCTATTTGTCAAAAAAATTAGCGCGCTACCACTACGCTAATTGTTAAAAAAAAGTAGCTCGCTATTAGCTACTATTTTTAAAAAGTAGCTTAGGCTACTTTTTAATAAAAAAATTTAAAAACAATTTTTTTTTATTTTGCATATAATGTTTGTATTGTAAATAATATATAAAAATCAACATTTATAAATATTAAAATATAGTTTTGATTATAAAAAAAATTTATGTAATAAATTTTAAATATTTATGGTAATTTGTTGAATTTTAATAATAAAATCATTTCAATATTTTATCCTCAAGTCTAGAGCGACGATCAGAAAGTATTAGTTTTGCCTTACTAAATAATCTCTCTGTGTCTCAATTATCCTCACCAAATATTCTATATTCATATTAAATAGAATAAATTATTCATCCCGTTTTTAATAGAAATGTGTAGTGATATTTATTAAAAATGGAGTGGTAAAATCATTAGGTTGCTATTCTAAATTTTAAACCTCAGGAATTATGATGTAACTACGTAAAAATATTTTATCAAATGAATACATTGAATTCCCTGTACTGTATATAAATTGATGGATATTAATCAATAAGAAATAAATATAGTAAAAATCTAATCATCCATGAAATATTCAATAACCATATCATATTAAATGTTAAGCTCAATGACACCGTGCAATGAAAACTAATGAAATAATCCATCTCTGTTGTAAATTTTATTAGTTAAATTCACTAAATTTTTTATAATTTGATATAAATTATGATATAATATTACTAAAATATGTATGTGTTTATATTTAGTTAATAAATATTCTAAATATAATGTGAAATATTAAACAACTTTTAAATAAATACTGAAAAATTTAATTAATAACTTAACTATTACTTGATTTAATTTTATTACTCTAAATATTTTAAAAATTAATTTATAATACTGAAGGCCTTCAGCTAATTGGACCCATTATCGGTCACCATCTTGCAAACTTTATTATGAATCCTAAAAGATTTGTAGACGTCAATAATTTTATTTTCAAGTACATCGTATGTCTGGCATCCTATTATCCTTTTGAGGGCTAATGCTACTGATCTTCTTTTTAAAGTCCTAGGGTCTAGCCAATGGCCTGTGATTCCCAAATAAGCTCTAAAAATATTTAATCAGATCAGTTTATAAATATAAATAAGTGTTTACCTTCTGTTATATGTCCAACTATCTGCCGTGGTATATATATGAGATATCTGATAATTCTACTATTAAAGCATCTTTCATCACTTTAAACTTATCTGCTATTTTATTCACAAGTGTCTGGCGACATAAAATAGCTGTATCAGGTGATAAAGTTTTAAACATCATAGTAAATGATGGATTATCAACCAAGGACATTGGCTGAACTGTATCAATTATAAAATCCACAATAACTTTATCAGTTAATTTCTGAGAAATATTAGCATTTGTATTATTAATTAATTTTGTGTGAATGGAATTAGTCTTTTCAAATTTATTTAAATGTTGTTCAATTTTCTTAAAACTATTAGCATGAACAGTCTTATAAAATAAATATTATTATTTTATGTAAAAATGATAATTTACATTTAGGTGTTTCTTGAGGTTATAGCTACTGGATTGATTTAAGGAAATATTTTTTTTACATTTTGTATTAATATTTAACTTGAAAAATTTTTGAAATCTAGGGAATGGGAAAGTATTGCTATGAATATTATTTTCTTCCCTGGTATCTTCCATTTCATTAATATCATTGTCTGACTCTGATTCACTTTCAACGATTTGGATATCCATTTGCGATGCCATTTTAAATTATTAACAGGTGATTTAGGTTTATAATACAAATTGAAAATATTAATTACAAATTGAAAATATATTTCAATTTCAAAATTAAATAATAAATCATAAAAATTATAATTAATTATGGTATTATATTTAAATTTTCATGCTTATACTTACATTCATTATATTTTTTAAAAGTAGCGCGCTAAAAAATTATATAATTTTAAAAAAAGTAGCCGCTATTAGCTATAGCTAGCAAAAAAGATAGCGCGCTACTTTAACAACTCTGGTGGAAACAATAAGAAAGAGATATGCCAACGCTATAAAGATTAACAAGAAAAGTTTAGGAAATTCCTGCAACTAGTGCTTCTTCTGAAAGAGGATTTAGCATTTATGGAAGTTTTTAGAACAAAGAAGAACATATTTGAATCCAGAAAATGTTGATTCATTATTATTTTTGCATTATAATTACATATAATATCAATTTTATATTTATATTTTTTTCATAAATATTTTATTTGATCAAATAAATCATCCATAATTTAAATTGAATATTTTTTTATGCTTAATATAGTAATTCCCTAAATTATAAAACTTTTTGTAGAGGTGTAATGCTGAACTTTTTTTATTAGATGCTTAAAAAATTGAAAGAATGGGCATATAAATTTTATAATAGCGGGCTTGGGTTTAAATTTTTTTATAAATGGGTGATTAATGGGCGGGCGGGTATAGATTTTTTTTGAAAACTATGGGCAGGCGCGTTAAAATTTTTTAAAACATTGGGTGGGCGGGCTTATTGTCCAAAACCCGCCTTATGCAGACCTCTAACCTAGACCTTAAGAAGGGGGGGGGGTAAATTGGAAAATAAAATTAATTAGAAAAAGGAATTATAAATTGCATAAAAAAAATTTATATACAATAATCATATTTTAGCCGCCCTTAAAATAGTTTTGCATAGACCTGCCTAAAAAAAGTTATATTTTGAGGATATAAAATAAAATGATAAGCCTTATCTTAAACTATTAAAAAATTTAAACAGAAACTATTCCCCGCATTACAGGACATATTGTTTGTGCAATGAAATCTTTTAATTATGTATAACCCTGTCACTGACTTTGACCCATATTACTTAGATAGGCTGATAATTTACTCATTAAAATGCATTTTGAATAACCCTTGAATTCAAATCAGCTGGTGACACGCCATTTTGATTTTCCTTATTAAAATTTTATCACTAAAATTGGTAAAGCTGATATAGTCAAAAAAATGAGGTTTATGAGACTTGAAATTAAAACGTTAACAACGGGAAATCATTATAATCTTGGTTATACTACATATAATTATATACAATAATCTCACATTTTTAAAAATTTATATAATACAAAAGGGCGCGTTTCTATATGATATCTACAAAAGCCGGATCTCTGGGTGTCAATTTAATTGGCGCTAGTCGTATAGTATTGATGGATGCTTGTTGGAACCCTACTCATGATACCCAATCAATTTTCCGGGCTTACCGATTGGGGCAAACTAAATCCGTCTTTATATACCGGCTTATAGCTCAAGTGAAATTATAATCAAATTATTACGAATGAGCAAATACATTTTTAATGGTGTATTCATGGATAAACGTAATTTCAAATCTGGTATAGTTTATAATCTCTTTAGATATATTAATTTTTCTTTAGTATTAATAATTCTTAAATTATAATCCCTGGAATTAAAGATAAATCCGCAAATACTTGGTACAAAACTCTGGTCATAAATGACTTGAAACTGTCCCCAGTGCCAATTTTGGTCATTTGCTATCCGGTGAGGATCTGAGGGTGACCATAGGATATAGACTTGGCTGTGACCTATGTTTGCCCCTAATTGTAATGGGTGCGAGAAAGACTCAGATCCTAAGGGCCGACATTGTCTATCCTCTTTATATTATAAAGGATAGTTCAATTGCCATAGAGATATTAACTTTATGATTTCGAACAAATTAAGGTTAGCTAACTATCCCAACCTTCTGACCCTTCCACTTATCCCTGTCTGATGGGAAAGACTAGATTGGCTCACCATTCTTTGGTATAGAGGAAAACACCTTACTTAGGATTTCACTTGTATCTCCTAATTTTCCTCTAACCCAAACATTTGATCCGATTATTACAGCTGAAAAGGTAAAAATAAGGAAGTACTGCCACTTTTCTGATTTTCACTGTATCCCACTAGTTATTTCTACCTACCAATGCGTTCCTAGTCCCTTTGGCTATCATTTTTAAAAATTTTCCTTAAAAAATTTTCTCAAATTAATGCCCATCATGGATCCTCTTTTAAAATAATACAATCAACTTAAATCGCCGTGTTTCGAGGCCCATCTTAGTTTCCTCGGATCTCAATGAGAACCCTTTTTGCCCCCCCCCCTCCCCGATTTTTTAAACCTTCTTTTTGTCCTATAATTGTTTACCTAATTATTATTTTTTAATGTTATTTTAATATAGATTTATATATCATGCTATTTTTTTATATAAATAAAGAGATCATATTCATTAAAACAAATAAGTAAATAAAAGTGATCTCATTTAAATATTTTAATTAATATTTTTTCGCATCATAAACAATATTAAAATTATCAAGACTTTTACTTTTTAATAGTAATTAACAAAAATTTGATTGGGATTCAAAATTTTGGCCAAATTATAGAGTTGTTTGAATTATCAAGAGCCCAAATTCGGCAAGTTTTACTGTATTTGAAATTTTTTTTTATTACAGGGAACGATGGAAGAACGAATTTACGAACGACAAGTGACTAAACAATCCTTGTCTCAACGGGTTGTCGATAAGAAGCAAATAGCCCGCCATTTCACTTTCGAAAATTTGAGAGAACTCTACTCTTTCGAGCCCGACCTCGATCAGGATAATGAACGAGAGGAAGAAGTTGGATTGGAAAATAAAACGCGAGAAAGAAATGTGGATAAAATAATCGATACGGATATTATCGTAGAAGATGGAGTTGTGCGAACTAATAACGAATCTAAATTCGAAAATTTTATGAATAGTGAAAAAGGTGCCGTAACTGGATTTAATGATATTCTTAACGCGGAAGATAGAGTTATAGTCAAAAAGTATCCAATGGCCCCCATACCGAAGGTAAATTTGTTTTCGTTTCTTATAAATGCATTAATGCTAGAACCATTAACTATTGAGAAATAAATTGGGGTTCAAGTTTAAAATAGTTACTTATCATGATCAAAGCTTAACAAATTTTATGTGAATAAAATATAGTTTTAAAATTGGCATTTTTGTAGACTCATCATTTACCACTCACGATATTGTAAATTAATACGATTTATTGGAACCGAGATCAAAAGCTAAATATATATTAATTATCACATTAATATATTAAATAGTAACGAATTGGGAGTCTGGTTTTGCCGATATTAACTTAAGTCATTCAAGATATTAAAATTTAGTTTTAATTAAAATATATTTATTTTATATCTTAGTTCCTCCGAACAGTTTTTTCTGGTAATGGTTTTTTTTAAAATTTAATTCATATGTTGTATTTTTTAAGTTTATACTGATTTTACCGAAAATGTACCTATCCTATGTTTGAATTCTTTATTAATTTTTCCTAGGACTGTACTGATATTAAATATCGGATAGGCGCCGATATTCCGATATTTTTTAAAAATTTAACCGATACCGATTTTATGCATATTTTTATTTTAACACATTTTTTATTTATTCTTAACTAATTTAACTCTCATAATAAACCTTCATAACTTCTATAAAAAGTTGTAAAATAGAATATTTAATTTTTTTACATTATTTTAACGATAGAAGAAGCAAAATATATTAATAAACTAATATTTTAAAAAAATTACCCAAACTTTTTGTGTATTTTTATTTGCCTATTGTTTATTCCATTCTTTTTATAATAAATCATGCGAATTTAAATATCATTAATTAACAAAGTTATCAATATTTTATTTCCGATCGATCATCGTGATTATTTGAGGGTTAAACTCAAATGTTTTAGACTTTAGCAAACTTGCACGTAAGTATTTGGCAATCAGTCTTCAGCAGAGCTAGTAAACGGATCGATTTGAGCCGGTTTTTAAAAGTGGCTTACTCAATATACCCAGAAAAATATTGCATAGATCTCGAGATTTCTCTAATACATGTCTAAACTATTTGTGGCATTTATGACCAAACTTTAGATTTGCGTAATATTTTATGGATAAAATATTGAATAAATCGGTTCAAATCGAGCCGTTTAACTGCACTAGATATAGACGGCCCTCATAGAGAAATTTATCAGAATAACTTGAGGCACTTATCATTATAAAGATAATTATCCAATATTATCATTTTAATTTTTTTTTCATTATTTATTAATATATTTTATTTGTTTTTACATTTTAAATAAAGATACAAAGTTTGCTATACAAAAAATAATAATAAATTTATGTAGTGTGCTGGCATATAATTTTATACTTATTTTATTAAGGCTAAAATGGATAAGTAAAAATTCTGATCATCAAAGAAAAATATGGAATTAAAATCTAAGAAATTATTTACTGTATATCTTATAAATAAAAGACATTCTACAAATTTAAAGATATGACATATTTTTAGAATTTTAAAACCTTGTGTGTCCTAAAGCCGACTTAATACTTAATAGCCAAAAAAGCAAAAGAAAATTTTTTTAAAAAAAAACTAGAATAAAATACGATAATACAATGCCACCAAATACTTAAAACAAAATAGGGTATCTACATCAAAAACATATTAGTCTATACTAAAAAGTAGTGCTGTAAACATTTCTTAAAAAATCGAACACGTTCAAGTTTACTTTCAAAAAAATTTAAATTTAATATAAATAAACTTATATTTTTTAATACAATATATTAGCCATGTTAAAAAATAATACGGCATTAGCTATACTAAAAACGCCTTCTACAGGGGCAGATGAGGGGATTGCGGTATTATCGTGGAGAATTATTTAGAAACATTTATTGTTTTGTTATTTGCTTCAAAAAATTGAGATAAGTTATCCTCCTCCAATCCATTCTCTACTCTCGACAAAAAAAAAGGATATCTCGAAATTAACAGTTCTCTAGGGTTTTCAAAGCATTTTTTCAATAACGACGCTATAAGTTTATTTTTAATAGGTTCGTTCTGTGGAAGTTTTATCCATGGCCATTGAAGTTTGAATGCTGGATGTATAATTGCAGAAAGAACATATTGATCTTTATATATGTGTTCAAATCTTTTAAAATATATGTAATTAATATAGAGTGATAGGTTTAATACCTTTTATTAATCTCATTAATACGGCGTTTATCAATGGTTGACCATATTTGAGGCCACTAATTTTTTTTAAGTTTAAAATAACTATCGTTATTGTTGGGGCTAAATATTATTATTTCTTCAAATTTAATGATTTTACTTAGTTATAATATATAAAATAAAATAATTAATATTACAATCTAATGTCGTTTTAAATTGGAACCTGAAGATTTTGACAATATAATACTTTTTGGCCACATTTTACATTTGATAAGTATTGGATTAGTTCCTTCAATATAGGATGTTAATGTAAAACATTTATCATATTTGGCCATAGTAATGATAGTTCATCTGATATTGGATTTTCAGAATCAGATGATGAGGATTAAATAATAATATCCATGCTTATGTTAATCTATTAAATTAAAATTTTTTTTTTTTCTTTAGCTTCACCTTTTCTGGTGGTAAGCTCCTTCAACATCTCTCTCCACTTTATGTTATTCATACAATCTCTTTTATCTAATTTATACTTCTTTATATTGGCTCTAACTTTATGGCCCCATTGAAGTTTTGGCCTTCCTCTTTTACGTTTGCCCATCACTTCCAAACTCTACCTTACTTCCTATGAAGTTCATAGCCCTTCCCATTGTGTGCCCATACCACCTAAGTCTATTTACCATTAACTTAGTCTTAATGGGCACTACCTTTAAACTACTTAGTATTCTTGTACTGCGCACTTTATCCTTTCTTGTTACCCCAGCAATCATTCTCAGCATTCTCATCTCCATAGTTTGTAGACTTCTCTCGTCTGTTTCTTTTGTTGGCCATGTTTCCGAACTATATAGAAAAGTTGGTTGTACTATGGAACTGTAAATTATACCTTCAATTTGTGTGGGATATTTTTGTCAAAGCACTCCAGATAAAGATCTCCACTTTAACCACCCTTGATTAATTTTACTCTTTATCTCTTTTTCTATTGTGCCGTTTGTTTGTATAGTGGAGCCCAAATATTTGCAGCTTTCAATTGCCGATATCTGCCATTCATTTATATCAATACTCTGTTTTATCTCCTATCACCATATACTCCGTCTTTTCTCTATTTACTTTTAATCCGTGCTTTTCTAGGATATTTATCCAACTCAATTCAAATTAATAAACTATGTGTTAAAAAAATTGAAATGTGTAAAGAAAATACACAGCCGATTAAAAAATATAAATATTACTTTTTTTTAAAAAATCGGAAATATTAAATTTTTCAAATAAATAAAAATAAAAGGTATTTTTAAAATTAAACGAACGTTCGAACGCGTTCTTCATAAAAAAGGAACGCGTTCACGTTCAGAGTTCGTCAAAAATAAAAGGAACGCCGTTCATAATTTTTTTCAAAAAACGTTCACGAACGCGTTAATCTTTACAACACTACTAAAAAGCAATTAAATATCCAAATTAAGTCGAACCAGGACACAGTCTGAGTCTCTTTTTTGGATTTTAAGAATCGAGATAAGTGAATATTCTGATTAAAACGCCTTTAAAACAAATTTATAAACCTATTTTTATTATTCAATTAGATAAATAATGACAAAAATATCGGTATCAGATCAGTATCGGTGTTTGAAATAAATATTGGATCGGTGAAAAGATTTTTATGGTTGCAGCCCTAATTTTTCTATATATTTTTTTATAAATTAAAAATGACTCAGAAAAGTTTCGTAACAAATTGTGGTAGATATTCTAAATTCTATGGGAATACATTTCTGCTAAAATCAGATTTTTCAAATACTAAAAGCGGACTGAGAAAATTATAAAAGTTAAAATATTGTCTGCCTTGAATCTATTGATATTTACACAATAATTTTTTTGAATGTCATTGATATAAATTTTCAAATTAAATTTTAGTCTACTATGATCATTTTATATATAAAAAAATATATTTAATGAAACAATTTTCGTATGTAAGGTTGACTAGTTTGGAGATCTGCAAGGGTATACCCTAAATTTTTTATAGTCGTGACCAAGAACCCTGTGCATAAACAAGCCGGGCTGGGCAACTCTTGCAGACATTTTTAAAGGACTGAACTTGCCAGTATTGCAGATCTCTTATATCTATATTTAAAAGGACTTCCATGGTAAAAATTGTCCACGATTAAGTAATGATAGTGTAAAATAAAACGAAATTGAAGGATAAAATACTACTTAGGTGGAGGATAGTTATGGAAGAGAAGAGATTAAAAATGAATATAGAAAAGGCGAATACGATATTTAGAGGCAAAGGTTTAGAAAGATTGAAGAGACTCATGTGTTGTATGATGGTTGGAAAGATGTTAATAGAAAATCCATCAATTGTACCTGCTGTCATAAATGGTTAATAAAGGGTGCAGTGGTGTAATGGGAAGCCCGCAGAAGGCAAGTCCGACCTTTATTTATAGAAAGTATGTGAAAAAAGGGGTACAAGAATGGTAATATAACTGATTTTTATATCGGAAATAAAACAAGTTTTGTTACCTAGGCGGCTAAGATATGTTTTGAAGAAATTCAGAGAGATGTCTTCAATTTCAATGACTAAAAATGTCTCTAGCTTTGAAGGAAAAAGTTTATGCAGGGGAGAAGTTATATGGCGCGGCACCGAGACATAAGCAATTAAAGCGACTCACAAAGCCAAGTTATAAAGAATAGTTAGATGGATATGCGGGGCTGAGGGAGAGAAAGCATGGAGGGAGCAAGACCCAGAAGGTAGCCAAAGGCATGCTAATTAAAAGTGGTAAATAATGACATTAAAATATTAGGTTAATCAGGAGTGATGCCCTGGACCGTTGAAGATGAAGAAAAATGATCAGATTGGCTACGTGGATAAACCTGAAAAAGGGCCACTAAACTACGAAGAATTAATATTCATAATGCGTTAAAAATACTTAGAATAGATTTGTAATTACATTCAAAATAAACAGGGTAGAGTATGAATATTTAATAAAATTAAAAATCATAGAATCCAATCAATACTCACTCATTCATAATTTTTTTAGATAGGTTAATAAAAATGCTCAATATATTATTTTTCAAACATTTTTTAGGACCATATTTTAGCTCAGCTTTTATTAGACCAAAAACGATGGATTGTCACTTACAGAGATCACGACTCTCTTTTAGAAAACAAGGAATCGGAAGAGCTAACGGAGGAAGAAAGACGTTTAGCATGGGAGGAATATGAGACCGAGAGATATGCCAACGTTCATACAGCCAACTTATCCAACACATCGAATCTACTACCCAACCCATCTCTTAATACTATCTACAATAATTTAGACATTTACAATGATTTAAACTCTTCGTCCTACAATAATTATCATTTTAATCAAGATAATTTTAATTTAAACTTGAGTAGCTCTTTGCATCATTCAATAATGACAGATAAAAATCCTATATCTATTGTAAGCGGCGCAAGTAATACTCAAGGTATGAGTTATCAACCTCTAGATTCCTCGAATAGGATGCAAGAAATCAGGGGAGTGTCATGGACAATTGGCGATGACGTGAGGATTGAATCGGGTGATTTAAAAAAAACAATACAACTTACACTTAATAATTTTTTAGATGAGGAATAATTTGTTAGTCTTTTAGCTCATTTTTGCTCACAGCTTTCAATTAGTGGATTATTTTTCTTTCGAAAATTACGACTTTATTTTTTTGATATTACTAGTGAATATAAATAAGTTGTTTGTGTTTTAGTCATTTTTGCTCAAAAATTACGGAATGCACAAAAATAAATAATTTCATACTTTTATATTATTATTTGTTGCTTAACGTATTAACTGTGTTCTTTTCAATTGAACTTGTTTTATGTAAAGCTATATGGCTAAATATTGTCATTTTGCTATATGGTAACTTGGGTACATATGAATACTTTATTTACTTTTTTCATATAGGAATTTATATTGATGGAAAAAATAATATTAAAAATAAAATATTTTGTATTTCAATGCATCCATTTGTTATTTTTTATAAATAAATTTTGCATATTTTGCTAATATTTTATGTAGTAAATATATTTTAGCAATATCTTGAAGCTTAGGGGATATTTTTTAGTTAAAATCTTGAGCCCATTTTATAGATAGGAAAATGAGGGAATTTAAAATTGACTAAATATACAAAATTAACGAGATAGGATTAGGTCTAAAAAATCTTGGTGTACAACATTTGGATTTGTAATTGATAAATTCATTGCATTGTATTGAAAATATTCGGAAAAAAAACTTGATCTTTTGAAGGTTTAGAATAACCGGTGCAGCAGCACATTTGATTAAACACGTGGAAAGGCCAGTCTCATTTATATGTCCAAAGAAACTTTATTCTCGTCAAACAGGTGTTTGATATGATAGACATTGGTTAATACTCCGATAAGCAGATGAGATGCACATTATATAAGAATAATTTCCTACCTTTTTGTGAGAAATGCAAAATGAACTTAGATATAGCCTACGCCTGGATAATATTTATTCGTTAAATCATATGTTACTTATGTGTTATCTTTTATGAAAAATAAATAAAATTAAAAGGATATTTTTTCTTGAATGCTCACAGTTATCAAATAGTGATATATTTTTTTTAAACTATGATAGCTGGTTGATTTTTTTTAAATTTTCAATTAGATCCTTAATATCAGGAAATCATAAAAAAATATTTTGCGGGTACAGGGATAGGACAACAACGGGTTCACTAATATCAATTTCAAAAATTGTTTTTCGCTGCCTTTATAGTAAGCGCGATTCGCACAAATGCGAAATCACAGCTATACTTTTTGATATATACTTAAAAAGATGTGGTGATTTCATTATTTCGCTCCATATTTATAAATTATACCTATTATTGGCTTGCTATTGTAAATTACACTAGCGCTTACTATAAATTAGGCGTGTTTTTCATAATAGTTGTTTCATTTAAATCTGAAAAAAAGGAGAGTTTCTATTGAGCTTTTGATCACCTTAAATATAATAAAGCTTTTAAAGATATCAAGTTTCTACTTTTAAATCCACTGAAAAATTTAGCATTAAAAAGTGTTAATATTGAGATTAAAATAAATTTTGTTTACTAAATTTAAGAAATTATTAGGGAAAATAATAATACCGGGTTTCCCTATTCAAAAAAAAAGAAAAATGTCAATCAAAAAAGGAAAAGTCATACGAGAAATGTAAAAATCCCATTTAAAAAATGGGAATCGTTATTTTTTATTGTCAGCGTTAATAATTCTGAAATATGATTTTTCTATAATTTTTTGTTATTTTTTTCTAATTTTTTGCGTTCTCTCTTTAAGTCGTTTTTAATCTTTTTTTCTTATCATTTCTTATTCATTTTCGTCTTTTTAAAAAGAATTTTTTTAATTTCCTTGTTATTTTTCTTCAATTCTCTTATTTTTTGTCACTTAATCATTCTTTTCCCCTATTTTCATCTTAACAATTTTTTGACTTTTTATCATTTTTTTCATTGTTATTTCAAATCTTTTTTATAATGATATTTTTTTATATATCAAATTATTTATTGCTCAATTAAATTAATCATTTGGTAATCTAATGTACCTTTTTAAAATTAAATAAATTTGAGTAAATTAGTAAATATAAATCATGTATTCTTATTTTTGAAAATTAATATTTATACAAGCATTTAGATATTTTTAGCAAGTAAATAATTTTTATATGTAAGTATTTTTAATGCTAAATTATTTTATTTGATCTATAAATAATTAAACGAAAAAATGAGGTAAATATTATAATTTAATAATTTTCAATTTTTTTTTGTCATTCCATTTGATGAGTACATCCTTTAAAAGGAAATTTTTTTATTTTAAAAAATAAAATCATGAAGATATGGTAGTAGCAAGGAAAAAAAACATTGATAGTGCAACGAAAGCTCTAATAATTGACGCGTTAAAAAAGGAGAGTATCCAAAATATAGCATCATGTTTTATGAGCTATAAAACTGTGGCGAATATAAAATACTCCTATCTCAAAAATGGAATAAAATATAGTTTACCTAAAGGAGGCCACGCAAGAAACTAAATCAAGAACAGGAAGAGTATATATTAAATTGTATAAATTTGGAATGCACTTTATCCTTAAAAAGATTATGTGAAATGATTAAAGATAGATATGATGTAGAAATATCAAAAAATACAGTATCAAGGTTACTATCGGGATTTAGGCATGCAAAGAATATATTAATTGGTTTGTAGATATACCCTATATGAAAGAAAAATTTATTTTTATTGCTTGAGAGCGGGTTTTCAATATCAATGAGACGGATATATAAATATGCATAAATAAATATAAAAAAAGGTTATTAAAGATATGTACTGGATAAAGACAATGAAATTATATTATCATTGTTGCTATCACGATTAGGGGTCAGACTTGATGTTGATGGCCCCTAACGCTATGCACTTTAAAAACTTTGTATGAAATATTAAAACATTTTGATGATTTTTATGATGGATGATGTTCCATTTTATCTAACCATACAATTAGAGTATCGATAGAATGGTGATGGAACATATTTACTACAAAATAGCCCATACCTTAATCACTTGAAAATGTGATATATGAATTCAAAATCGTAATTGGGGAATTGATTCGTTTTAAACAGCATGATGAGAAATAGGAATAATTCAGGAGAATGCAACGAATTATTTTAGAAATGAGGAGACCTATATTCCAGAATGTAGAAGAAGGAGTTATTGATATTTAATTTTAAAAAAAATGTTTCTTACTGCACATCCTAATTGTAATGATATAATTAAATATGCACATATTAATTAAAAAAAAACGATTTGTTTGCCAAAGAGAAATAAAAATCAAGTGAAAAAATTAAAAATATAAGGAGAAAGAAATGAAAAGTAGTCAAAAAATTGTTATATAAAATGTTTTTTAAAAATAGAGAATTAAAGAAAAATGCTAGGAAAAAGAAATTATTTAAAAGGACAAATAAGAATACGAAAAAATTAACGACTTAAAGAGAGATCGGAAAAATGAGAAAATTAAAAAAATTTTTAAAAAATCCAATTTCAGGATAATTTAATTGACAATAAAAAAAACAAAATATACAAGAAAAAACTATATTTCTTTTTTTCTGATAGGCTCGTTTCTTTTTCTCATTAGACTTTTCCTTTTTTGATCAGTCCTTTCTATTTTTAAATGACATTTTTTCTTTTTTGATCGGATTTTTTCCTAAGATTTTAATACTTTTCCTTTTTTTTGATCGAATTTTTTCCTCTTTTTATTGAGACTTCTTTCTTTTTTTGGTATGGGAAATCTTGTATTATCAATTTACAATTAGTTCGATTTAGATTTATATTGCTGATTATTAAATTAATTCATAAGCACATAACATTTTTGGTTTTATAGAAAATAACGAAGAAACCTGCGTATATAGAATGAGCTACGATAATTTACGACATTTATTTAAATCAAATGGCGATATCAATTCTTCTTATATGGTCAAATACATGAAGCATATTGTAATACTTTGTTTTTTTTAAAATTATATATAATAAACGGAGGAATACCAATTAGAGGCTTTATTATTTGGGCCGGGCAAAAAAATTTATATATATATATTTGATGAATTGACATTTCATAGAAGTGATAATCCATAAAGTATATCATTTTTAATTTAACAACTTCCCAATATTATAAATAGTTGTTTATTTGGTGTTCTTCAATAAATATTTAGGTTTAGGCCTTGTATTTAATAAAAAATTAAAAAGAGTTTGACTAAACTGTGAACGCTTAAGTAAAAATTTATATATATTATCTTTTATTTGTAGTGAGATCCATTTTCCTATGATATAAATAACTTATAAAAAATTAAATTTTTAGATATATTCAATAATAAAGAAATATACATTAATAGTTGAATTATCTTTATCATAATAAATCGTTTAAATCTTTTAATATAATTATATTAAAAATATTAATAATTAAATTTTAAATTTCAATAATATTAAATCCGCAAGATGGCGTACTATTATTTAATAAAAAAATTTAAAAATATTTTTTGTTTTATTATATTCTAATTTTGTATTATTACTTAAAAAGTAATCTAAATTCCTTATATTATCTATCATTCGAAAAATTGCAAGAACAAATATAGGTTTTTATAAATTACATATGATCACATTTTAATGGTTAAAATAAGGTAAATTAATTTTTTTAAATAATTTTTGCATACTTTCTATTGATATTTTTCCTAAATAGCTAATTTGTTTTTATTGCCATTATTACAATAAATGAATAAGATATCACAGAAAAATTTTATCGAACATATAATGTTTGTAGATTATTTACACCTAGCATAAAAATGTATAAAGATTCACCATTTTTAGGGGAAAAATATAATTTAGATAAGGGATTTCGGATATTTTAAATGACGTTATATTTTATTTGTAAAATGATATATTGATTTTTAGTAAAGAATGTAGAAGGGGGAGGGTTAGGTGTATTTGTTCGAATTTTCAGTTGATTTCTAAAGACTTTGATTTGCTATTCTGAGATATAATAACTTGGGGTTTTAACGTAGACTAATATCTAATGAGAATTGTTGATGGATTAAGCGTCCATGTATTTCTTTTTCTATAAATTTTGTTTTGTGAAGTTAATCATTATAGTAATATAATTTGATTGTTTAAATGACCATGAAAAGGGTCTTTAAGTGTTGCTGAGTTCAATAATACAAATAACATTGAACTGGAGGTTATAAATTATATTATGAGAAAGTTGAAATACATTATAAATGCTTAATTATTATCTTTCCATTAAGGAAATTTTTTTATAAATATAATACTGTAATATCTTCATCAGCTAGAATTGAAAGGTTATTTAGTCTTGGTAAAATGCTATGTATGCCAAAATGGCAAGTCTAATACTAAATTATTTGAAAATTTTGATTATCTTATAAAATAATAAATATTTAAAAACTCTTTTACAAATTAATATTTCAACTCCCATTAAAAATACTAGTCTCCCTTCCCTATCTATAAGAATGGGCTATTACTGATATTAAAATGCTTGATATATTAACTCATCATTAAATATTTTATTAATTATTGTAAATATTCATCCTTACTAAATGAATATGTTATGTTCTTCACAAATAAATAGTAAAAACTATATTTTATAAACTATTCTAATTTTATTTTGATATTTTGGAAAAAATACTAGTATCTGTATCTAAGATTAATTTTTTCACATCTGTATCTAGATTCTTAAGGACCTACCCATGTAATATAAATATTTTCTTACGTGATTATCCATTTCTGATTGAATATATTAAGATATATGACGACTAGAAAAAAATCTATTGTTATTGAGGTAAAAAAAGGTAAATGAATGAATGGCATCATGTGAAATATTTATATAAATATGATTCTAATTATATAAATTAATCATTTACTATAATATTTAGATAAATAATATTTAAATTATTTTATTTAAATAGTAACTTGGTATTATTGAATATCATTTGACACAAAATAATATTTTATATAGTAATATTAACAATATACTTTACCGGCATGATTTTGTTTTAAATATTATACATAGCCCTCCACCATGCGTGTTATGATAATTCAGCTTATTAAAATGAATCTTTAATGTTTTAGAAGTAAATTCTGATATATAACATTTTTAAATGATTATATTTTTTATAATAGTATTTTATAATAATACACGCCAACTTGCGGATTTAATATTATTGGAATTTAAAATTTAATTATTAATATAATTATATTAAAAGATTTAAACGATTTATTATGAGATAAAAGATAATTCAACTCTTAATGTATATTTCTTTATTATTAAATATATCTTAAAATTTAATTTTTTATAAGTTATTTATATCATAGGAAAATGGATCTCACTACAAATAAAAGATACATATAAAAAATTTTACCTAAGCATTCGCAGTTTACCTTAGCATTCGCAGTTTAGTCAAACCGAATTAAAAACATGACCTGGCAACTTTAGTAAAACAAGTTGAAATCGGTCTGGACCTGAAATTTTTGCCATTTTCAAACCCTCTAGCACTGACTTAATATTATCAGTACCGGACATTTTTGCCAATAATTTTGCACTAAAAAGATTTTTGTTAAACTTTTTGCAAAACATTAAATATTTTTTATAATTTATTCAAAATCCCCTACAGTGTTTTTTTTAGAGGTGACTGATATTAAATTATTTTTTAAAATACTTTTACGTTCTCTTCTAAGAAGACCTTAACATTCACTCAAAAATAAAAGAAATCTTTAAAGATTTTAAAAAAAATACTCATAGAGGATTTTTAATCAAAATTTACCTTAAAATTTTAAATCATTTTTGTAAAAAATCTTTTATAAGTAAATATTTCATGATATACATATAAAATCTTTCATAAAGAAATCACAAATTTTTGTAAAATATTTAGTTGATCTTCAACGATTTTTGTTCAAAATTTTGGGGGTTAAACCCTTCTAAGAAATGAATATTTTCTTAAATTTTCCATTTGGCTTGGCTTCTTTCTAAAAAAGAAAGAAGAAAAAAAATTTCAAATTCACTATTTTTATTTTATCATTGGCGGACGCGATACGATGTGTAAACTAATATTCAGAGAGACTGACAACATTGTCAATGTAAGAAGGAGAAAAATTCCAGATAATTTTGAGAAAGGAAGAATTTTTATTTTAGAAAATTTCAATTATTAATTTTATTAACCTATGTCTTCGCTAGCAATTAATAATGTCTATTTTTATTTTGGCGAAATCTGTAAGAATATAAGCAGAAGTGAGTATCTTACCAAATATTCGCGAATTTTTTAAAATACAGATTAATTCTAATTTTAAAAAGCCATTTTCCTTATATATGTTAGCGGCAATTTGTTTTTCTGGAATGTGCTATTTTTTCAATAAATCATTCTTTTGAACGCATTTTTTTAATTTTATAAATCTAATTATACCGGAAATGTATTCCAGCATATTTAGAAAACCTATTTCATGAATTGTAAATAATTTTACCATTTACTTAGTCATTAAGAAATTAAAAGCGAAAGCGCAAGAGGATCAAAGACAGGAGTTTGATAGATAAGGAGTGCGCGGAAGGAATGGGAAAGATGAATTTAAAATAAAATATTGATATTTTAAAACTTTTATTTAACACGAGTGGCTAATCAGTCCGACCCGCGAACCTGTGGTAGCTTAATCAATAAAATATATAGGTGTGGTTCAAAAATATTAATTTTATTTTTACCTTTTTTTTTTTTACCTCTTTGCATAATTAATTTAACATTTTTAAAAAAATCAGAAAGTATAAAATATTGACGATTCTATTTTCATATCATGTTTTGTAATAAATAAGAATTAAATAGATTAACATCATTAAATTATCAAAGTTATTTCTGAATATTTAAATTTGTTGCATAACATTAAAATATAGAATTAAAAATATATTATGAGATTAAAAAATTTCTTCCCTATAAACTTTTTTTAAATTCGAGCCACGGGTCATGCCTTGATATAAAAAATTGTGACCAGGTTGCGGACAGTTCAAGCCTAAAAAAGCGGTTTTGTTGCTCTTTGAGGTATCGCCAAAGTTGTATTCGGTACATCCCTGCTTATAAATTGACTCGCTTATAGCCTTTCTCGAGGGACCAGATAATTTTAACCGAAAAACATTTAAAATTTTAATATATCTGAATCAAAACGCGTTAAAGGGAGGAAAAAGTTATAAACCGGTTACTATACTATTATTATCAAACCTATCTATAATTCTTTTAATCTTGTAACCATTTAACTTCGTCTATTATAATATTTACTGAAAAATTTACTCTTTCAAATACAGAATTATTTTAAAATATATGCTTGAAATTTTAATATAATTAAGGAAACCGATTATAATGCAGAATCGCTGAATTTCAAGACTAGATTTATTAAGCTCTACCAATTCTTGAAGATCAATCGAAATTATTTAATGCGAATGGTAAAAATAAACCGATCTTTAATACAATATTCACTAAATTGAATAAAATATATCTCATCAATTCCATTTTATATTATAGTGTGCTGAATCGGCCGATAAAATAATTGAAATTACTGTCGATGCTAACATCAACAATCACTCGAGAAAATCTACAATATCTAGCCTAAATTCTCAATCACGTTTGCCGTTATGCGTTTTATTATTTATAATTTGACAATATAATATTAATATTTAAGTTAATAAATAATTTTGATTAACTAGTTTAATAAAATAACATTGTTGCGCGAGATATTATAACCGCCCAAAAGTAGAAAATTCTTTTTAAACCGGAACTTTATAAGAGCGAATAGATAACTTACTCTATTACACATGTTAATTTTATTTAATCACATTTATTAACTTATAATGCTTGTATATTTGATAAAATCGTTTTTCTTATTTTACCCAAAAATAATATTCGTATTTTCCTTTTTGAATTATTTTTAAGATAATTCGACAAATTTTCCCATTCCATATTCCTCTTCATCCTCTCCTGCTTTCGTGAAGAATTATGTCAGTAATTTTAATAACGAAAACAAAAGGACAGATTTCCTTATAGCCTCTCAAAACATGCGCTTGATTACTCCTTCTTTGCGTCATAATAATTTATCAAATTTGAACCTTTTGCAAAATATGGCTGGTGTCGATCGCTCTCTATTTAATTCCTCTCTACGGAATAGTAATAATAATCCTCTTTCTGTCTCTTCTATCTATAACGAAAATATCCCTATCCAACCGAATGATCCTACTTGTCCAGTCAATCTTAACTTGGGCAGCGGTAATTTAGGTCGCAACCTTGATTTTACAAGTTTCATAAGCAACATGAGAAGCAATGTGAATCGCTTTATGCCATCGTCAAATGATAATAATAGTTCAACATCAATGGGCAACACTTTCGGGGTTCAAACCTCCGATTTTACAAATTATGTAAACATGAGAAATAATGGGAATCGTTTACCGACATCAAATGTTATTAATCCGATTTCATCTTTGAGTAAAAACACGTTAGGTCAAATCCCAGATTTTGCGGGTTCTTATTCAAACATGAGAAATAACGCGAATCGTTTTATTCTTCCAGCGCCAATCGTTAATAGTTCAATCTCATTAAATAACAAGGCAATCGGTCAACCCCCAAATTTTTCAAGTTATTTATTTAACAACATTAGAATGAACCCATCGATTCTGCCATCGTCAAGCGTTAATCCTTCAATCACATTAAATAATACAGCAGGCCATGCACAAGACTTTACAGCTTCTTATTTACACAATATGACAAATACAAATAATGAGAATAGTAATCCATTATTATCTTTGAATGTAAACAATCCAACCTTACCAATAAGCAATCCTCCGGCTAGAGGATTCAGAGTTATAAACGGAGAAATATTTCCTTTATAAATATTTTAGATTAATATGCTGAAGATAAAATAGAGGATTTAAAAAACTATATATTATAAATATTATAGAGAATTGTAGTTAGAATTTTAAATTATTGTCATCATTTTAATTGAGAAGTATTTTAATTGTATACACATATTTATATATATAAACTTTCTTTATTATTGTTGAAGTGATATTGTAATCTAATCTCATCCTAAATAAAAATTTAAAAAAATGATAATGTAATTCTCTTTATTCAAAAACTAGGATAACATTTAATTATTTTTTTATGTCACTAAACAAATATTAAAAAGTTAAGAAAAATTTTTTAAGAAATGATAACTTATAATGCCATCAATATCTTTAATATATTGAAACTTTATTTTATTTCATAAATTAATATTGTAATTGCATAAGGTCTTTATCAATAGTCCAGTTTGAAACGAAATATACACATTTATTAAAAGCATTTTAACGTTACCATTACAACCAAAAATTATTCCATTATAAGTTTAGGAAAAATTCTGAAACCCTTTCCATTAAGGTCGAAATTGTAATTCCGATTTTTTTTAAAAAAAAAATTATTTCCCACTTTAGCATTTTAAATTAGCCGGGATGTTTAAAATTTCCTTATTTTGAATAATTTTAGAGAAGAACATGAAAATAAGCCGTAAAAGAATGATGTCAATTGATTTAATATATTTGTGATTTAAAAAATTAGCCTGGCCCGAGTTTTGTAAAAAAAGAAAAGAAGAAGAAATCAGTCTTGTTTGCTTACCAAACGGAATATGTAAGTTCACGCTTCATAAATTTTTTCACAACTAAAGTACTTTAATTTATATGAATTTTTTCATAATTTTTTATGTAAATTAAACTTTCTTAATAATTCTCGCAAACCTCAATTTGGCTACTTCAATAAATATTAATAAATGATTTTTATAATATGAACGTTTTTAAGATATTATAATTTTATAAAAACGAAAGAATCTTTCACTATAACAATACATTGAGAATTCTGAATTTTCACTATTTTACCAGTCGGGTTTGGACATCAATTTTCATTGTTTCCTCGGAGAAGGAGAAGCGATTTTGTAATATACTTTGAAATAATTTTTAATTCTATAGAAATAATTATTCCTCAAACCCCTTCGGATTAGAATATAATAGCTAACGCAAGGTTAAAGTTTTAGCATCCTAGTGGAGATACCAATGGGTCATTCCATGTCAAATGAGCAAGAAAATCAAGATTTTCGGCATCTCTTTTCAAATTAAAATTATAGGCAACGTATGTTCTAAAAATATCTTTAACAAAATTTTAGCTCATTAGCAATTATATTACCTGGGATAATGGTGATTAAGGTACAAAAATCGGTTTTTACTAATGGTTTTAGATTAAAAGCTAAATTAGTTCGAATATTAATAACTAAGTCTATAATTGATAATTATGGGGGGAACATCAAAATTTATTTTTTTGAAATATTGTTCATCTTATATACTGAATCTTAAATTCGCTCAGTTTTCTTAAAAAATAGCATTTCTTTTGTTAGTGATGATGCCAGTGTTATGATTGGGAATAAATCTGATGTAACAACACCTTTGCGCACTATATCCAACGATCATACCCTGGCATTTTTTAAATCACCCTTTAGAATTAGCCACTGCAGTAAAAACTGTTACAGGCGTTAATAACCTTAAAACCTTTATTGATAAAATATACAGTTTATATAGCCAGTCTAACAAAAATCAACACTGGAAATAGCGACTGAATTGGGCATTCAATTTCTGAAGATTAGAGGGGGCCTTGATATACCATAGATGTCTAGCAGTATACTTTTAAGGCAATTTGGATAAATTATGAGGCCCTGTATACCCCTTTAAAAAATTTAGTAGGATACTCGTTTATCAAATGGTGAATTCTTATCAGATCTCCCTTGATGTATGATGTATATATGTTTTTCCAATTTGTCTTTAAAGCTTTAATAAAAAACAATCCGTTTACCTAATGCTGAAAAATCAATAAAGCGAACGATATTTTAAAATCGTATAAGAATATGCCTGGTAGGTTCTAAATCTCTAAATGAATGTTTATTTAATAGCTAAAGAAAAACATAGGAAAGTGGCTCAAGAACTTAGGGAAATAAATAAATTTAAATTGTTAATTGAAGGAAAACAGAAGGCACACTGGTGTCAACTAAAATCATTCATTACTGCCTTAATAGACAATAAACTAAATAGGTCAATTTATGCTGATTCCAATAACTATTTTTATTTGATATGGAATATTTATAAAAGGATAACTGGCCAGCAGACCTTTAAATTATCCATCTCCATACTCTTCTCTAGTCTTAACATGCTCATACTTTGTTCTCATTCAATTCGAACATTCAATAAAAAAAATGCCTTTACCTCTATTTTATCATCATTTTGAACAAATTCTCATTCAAAACGAGCTTCATCAAAAGTCAGCCCAGTTTCTAATATTTTTAAAATTTCTAAATAAATTTATTTACATAAAATAATTTTGTGCATCAATGGTATTGCATAAAAATATATTATAATCGAAATGATCTAATATTTTTTAATATACAAAAAAAATATCTATAAACACATTTTTGAATAAAAAGAAATTGTGATTTTTTTATAGAAAAAGTAAGTAATATAGAAAAAATTTCAGTGGAGGGTTAAGAATGACATTAAGTAATTTTCTCTTCTAAAATGACCATCATTGTGTCATCTTGAAAACACTTAAAGGAAATATGTTCATTGATATAAAAAATATAAATCGAATGTGCATAATTAGTTAGAACTTGGAATGACCATATTTTATTGATCCAAGTTTTGTCTAAATGAGAACAAAATATAAAAAATGTTGTTTATGTTCTCATATAAGAATTTCTATTCGAAAACAACGGCAAAGCCTGAACTATTTAAAAAATAAATAAGAAATTTTGTCTCAAATCTTGGAATAACAAAAATTTGCCTCTATTGCCCATTTTAGCGTACCCTCTACTATATTTTTAAGTAATAGCGCCCCCTCCGCAAATTTTAGGACTACAACACTGAATACAAGGATCCAAACCAAAACAAATTTCGGTTCAGGTTCGGGTGGTAGCGTCACTAGAGTGGAGGGGGTAGCAAGGGGTCGAGAATCCTGAAATATTTGAAGAGCCCCCTAAAAATTTGAAATTTTTTTATACTACTAAAAAAGAGGTAATTTTGGATAATGTTAGTTTAAAAAAAATATAAGTTTGAAAATAATTTTTAAAAATGACATCCTGAGTTCGCGTTCAAATAAAAATAACGGTTCATGGTTCAGGCTAGTAAATGTAATAACAGTTAGGCTCGAACCTCTAAATGTTTGAACTCTTTTATATATAAACTTGCATTAAAATTATGCATAGAGAAGCATATTATTTTGTTTCATCAAAAAAAAAATATATAATGTTATTTATTATTAATTTATACAATATAAATAATTTATAACAAATAAATTTGAATTATTTTCTTCAATATTGAACATTATTTACTTAAAAAAATAGTATTGAGTCTTACAATTAAATTATTTTCTACTAATCAAATTATATCTATAAGGAGAACTTATAAATTTTATTTTTGAAAAAATATCTCCCTACCCTAACTTGAGTAGCCAGCACTATCGAAATACTATTTACATAATTTGTGATATCGAAATCTATGATTTTGTCAATAGGCTAAAATATTCATTTCTTTATTTAGGCGAGGTTCTTTAGGAAAATTAACTAAAATATTTAACATTAATAGATTTCGATTACCAATATTGCCTTTAAATTTTTCTTCAAGAATCTGTTGGCTTGATGACATCCGAATCTTTTTTAATACTTTTGGATTTTGTTGTGATATTTTGTTAATTTTAGCGAGTTTTAAAAGATGGTATCTTTTGATACGACGCTCAAATTGTATCATATCTATAGTCTTAAATTGGGACGTATCATTTATAATAGAATACCTAAATAATTTATATATTGGATTAAATTTATCCCTAGATATTAATCAATGGTATATTATATACTATTAGATTGGCGATTCATTCCTTTCTTTCGTACATACATACATAGGAGTAGGTTAGGTGCCATTTTGGTGTTTTTACATCGACTTTTTGTTCTATCGATGATTTTATTAATTTATATTAGTCATTTAATCGACTTGCAAACCATAAAATGGAGCTACAGTTGATTCCTATGCATGTTCATTTTAAAATACAATGCATGAATAGCCAATCTAGTGGTATATACACATTTGGCATTAATAAGCTCTTTTAAAATTAAGTAGAAAAGGAAATTATTTAAAAAATATTGTAAAATAGCAATATACAAAAGTTTATTTTAAAAAAAGGTAAAATAGTGGCAAAAAAATTTTTGTGTACAAAGGATAGTTTTTGAACAAACATTCAAATTTAATAGAAAGTTGCTATTTTTTTAGGGTTTAACGGCGGGGTTGGGTAAATTTTCAAAAAGACATTTTAAATTAATGAATACTTTAATGAATACTTATGTCGATTTTTTTAACCCTGCTTACAATTCTTTTTTGATTAAATGATATTTTTATCATTGACCATTTTCTAAAATTATTGAATAGCAGCATAATATATTTATTGTTGCAGCAGTAGCATACCACATAAATTATGAAATAATTCAAATGTAATTAATATCAACGAAATTAATGGAGGAAGAAATCGTTCCATTTATGATTTTGTTTTTATATTTAGTTGAGCATAACATTTAGCTTTCACTATGTTATTGATTTTTGATATTTAAAAAATTTCCAATCAAAATTGTCAAATCAAATTCAGAGGATGTTGATGTTGTTACACGGCAAAAATATCTTATAAAAATAATAGCTTATATACCTTCCTCATCTTAAAAACATATCATTTTAAATATAAAATAGGATTTAAAATAAAAGGCTAATTTTTTCACTAATTCGAATCACAAATTTAATATTTAAATAAATGTGGATTTACATTTTATAATTCAACTTGTAACAAAAAAGTATTTGTTTGTATTTGTCTGAAAATCGTAATAAATAAAAAATACTTTATAATTTTTAGTATTTAAAATATAAATACTAAATACATTTCAAGATATTTAAATAAACACAAAATATAAAAAAGCATTTGTATTTAATATTTTGAATATAAGTA